TCTGAGAAAAGGATTTTGTCTACTGGTTTTACTCTATAGTCCTTGAGTGTGACAATTTGGAGTGATGTTTATGTCATTGTTTTCTTCTTTTTTTTTTTTTTTTCCTTTTTGTCTTTTTTACTGACCGGTAACGGGATCGCAACCCTCGGTGTTGCGCCCGCACCGCGCTTAGCCAGTGAGCGGGAACCGGTCTCCACATGGGATCCGAACCCTCGGCGGGAGCGCCACCGTGCTCCCAAGCGGCGCACTCTCCAGTGCGCCACCGGGCTGGCCCTGTCATTGTTTTCAATCCTCTCCATCACACACATGGACTCACATCTCCCCCATTTAAGCGGTTTTCTTCCCGCCCTTTGGGTAAGTGTGTAATGGGGATCAAATAGATATGTTCAATACCATCTTTTGGTGATAAAGCAGCTCGGCACTGTCTGTGCTTTTCCATTGTCCTCCTCTAGTGTCCTGAGTTTCTATGTTACACATGGTCATCACAACCTGGGTCTGGCAGGAGGGAAGCCTGTTACAGAGCTGGGTCCAGCATGTCTTCACTGGACAGGTGGCAGGTGGCTTGACCCCATGCTGCCCACAGGTAAATGAAATGAAACAAAGGGCCAGAGGGATGGGACCCCAGTTTTATAAGATTATTGTATATACAATTCATTTTATATTCCAAACAAGATATCAGTCCTGTTAAAATTGATCATCCCAAGAAAAAGATTCTGACAGCTCAGTAGTAAAGGAAGATTAATCTGATTTTTTAACTGCCTCTTTCTGAAAAAGAATTAGTTGAAATTAACTGTTCAAAGGTATATTTTCTCTTTACTTTCTGTAGTTTTTATTTTGTATGCCTGGTCTTGGATGTATGTACTGTTCCACATATTCTAAAACGAATAGAAGAGTCCACAAGTACTTAGCATCTACTAATTTGCAGCTGTCAAAGAGTCCCCAGCCTTATTACAGTTCAGCAGACAGCTGTTGCATTAAGGTGCGTACAATGCTAATATCCCAGTATGCCCATTTTGTGAAAGCGGTGTCATAATTCATCACAGTTTGTAGGCTTGCACATGTTTTCCTTGGAATACGCCAGGCTCCCCTGTTCTACTTAATTCCGCATTTTCTGTGCAAATGACACAACAGTTGGAACTGAGTGCAGGCCAACTGCTTCACTTTTCATGTTCATCATGTTACCCAGAACAGAGGCACGGACTTGTTTGCTTGGTTTTCACTGAGGAACATTCTTTGTCTTCCAAGGAATACATAAGAAGAGTTCCTGTCTTAGAACACAAAGCTCTGAACAGTGACTTTTCCACTGAAGTAATTAGACTGGTTGACCAAGCTCTGGAGAGGAAACATTCTTGGTTGCCAGGTTGCAGGGAGAGGAAGTAGTCTGTATTGTGGAACTGAAGAAAAATGATTGTTTCTGCGGGTCATAGTCCTCAGTCTCCCTTTAGAGAGCCTCGATTGCAGTGATCAGTTATGGAAGTGGCTCTGGGAATAGCCACTTGCCCCAGTGATAAGTATGGATGAGGAGCCTGCCAGCGGGCTGTGCCATGGACTTTTACCACTGGCAGACGTACTTCTATGAATAAAAGAAGGTTGATGCATTTGGGCATTTAATTCTCAAAATTAGCCAAAACTGGAAGCAACCAAAGACAGAAAGGGGAAATCAATTAAAGAAATTATGGTACAGTGGAAAGATGCTTGTGATATTTTGATGAGTGAGGGAAAAGAATAGGCATCAGCATACTGTGTGGTTCTATTTATATAAAATCTAAAATCAGGCAAAAGTAATCTAAGGTGAGAGAGGTCAGAAAAATGGTTATTTGAGAGAGGGGAATATAAGCTGGGAAGGGGCCTGGGGAGTTTTGGGAACATGCTTTGTATAGTGATCCCCAGGGCAGTTAATCAGATGTGCGCAGATGTAGGGCTGGCTGATTAGCTCAGTGGGTCACAGCATGGGGCTGATAACACTGAGGCCCAGGGTTCAATCCTTGCACCAGCCAGCCACCAAAAAAAACAAAAATAGATGTGTGCAGGTGTAGAAACACCCCAAAAATTTGTGCCCTTCACTATATGTTTTTTCATGTTTTTTTTGATGGCTGGCCAGTACAAGACTCGAACCCTGGACCTTGGTGTTACAACAGTATGCTTTAACCATATGAGCTAACCAACCTCACTTCATTATATGTAAATTATATAAAAAAGAAAACATATACATATTGCATGATTTCATTAATAAAGTTTGAGAACAGGAAAACTAGGCTATGTTAGAAGTTGGGGTAAGGTTCCCTTTGGGGAGGGGATGACAGAATAGAACAAGAGGCTTCTGAAGGGCCAGTCACAGTCACATTAGAGTTCTTAATCAGGGTTGTGGTAACACAGGTGTGTTCTCTGTGTGATAATCCAGCAGTACACTGTGGATTTGTGCTTTTCTATTTGTATGCTATATGCTTCAGTAAAAGTTTATCTAAAAATGTTATGGTCCTGGGCTTTTATGTTGAAAATATATATGCAAAGAAAAAGAGCTAGAAGGGCACTGTATGAGTTTCCTGTGGCCACTTTAACAAATTATCACAAACTTAGTGGCTAAAAACAACACAAATATATTATCTTACATTTCTGGACATCAGAAGCCTGACCTGGGTCTCACTAAGCTAAAATCAAGATATAGGCAGAACGCTTGTGATTACAGTGGGCCCACTTGGATAATCTTGGCTAATTTCCCTCTTTTAAAGTCAGCCGATTAACAACCATAATCCATCTGCAGCCTTAATTCCCCTTTGCCATGTGACCTAACATACCCACAGGTTCCAAGATTTAAGAATGTAGACATCGTTGGGGCCATTTTTCTGCCAACCAGAGATACGCAATAAAAAGTTAAGAATGATCATTTCTAAGTGGTAGGATTTCCCCCAACTCCTTTTTTTTTTTTTCCTTTTTGTCTTTTTTCGTGTCCGGCAACGGGATTGCAACCCTCGGTGCTGCACCGCAACTCGCTCAGCCAGTGAGCGGGAACCGGTCTGTATGTGGGATCCGAACCCTCGGCGGGAGCGCCGCCACACTCCCAGGCAGCGCACTGTAGCAGTGTGCCACCGGGCTGGCCCTCCCCCAACTCCTTTTTTCTTATCTGTATTTTCAGAAGTTTTCCTGGGAATACATATACTGCTTCAAGATGAGAAGGCTAAACCTCAGTTATTTATATTGATCATACGCTTAATCATACCTTATTGTATTAATCTACCTCCAGGACAGCCCTGAACAGCTAATAATATACCTCAACTTTTTTTTTTTTTTTAAGATGACCAGTAAGGGGATCTTAACCCTTGACTTGGTGTTGTCAGCATCACTCTCTCCCAAGTGAGCTAACCGGCCATCCCTATATAGGATCCGAACCCATGGCCTTGGTGTTATCAGCACCACACTCTCCCAAGTGAGCCACAGGCCAGTCCTGTACCTCAATGTTTAACTTTTTCTTTTTTGTGGCTGGCTGGCACAGGGATCGAACCCTGGACCTTGGTTGTGTTAGCACCATGCACTAACCAGCTGAGCAGGGGCCAGCCTATCAATGTTTAACTTTTAAAAAGCACTCAAGCCTCGAGCACAGGCCATCATCTGTTATGCCATTGGGAATCTGCTCTTTCCAGGAATGTAGAGTGGATCTTCTTATCCAGAAAAAACAGCTTTCTTGCCTAAAATTATAAAACTTTAAAGTTTAAATTTTGAGCTAAAAGGATGCTTTACAATGGAATTTTTAAAATATGTGAAATAAATGAATTCTATTTTGGGAATGGAGTATTGGCAACTTGCCAGTAATATCTTAAGTTCCTTTGCACCAGCAAGGAAGGTCACCTTCCCCATGTCTTTGAGAGGTCAGTGCTCCCGCAGCCCACAGAACCGCAGACTCCCCTCTTTGCCTTCCCAGCCAGCCCTCCCTTCTTTTCTGGAACACAGGCTGAATGTACCCAACAGTGCATTCACAGTAACAGACTTGATAAACAGTTAAGAAACACCCACCAAGGCAAGCCCATCTCCCTGCTAATCCACCCCTGAAACACTGCTGGGGCAGAGTTTATCACTGTCTTTGGTACAAACAATTCAGATCAGAAGTGAAGACCGCCTTCAGGCTTCTGCTTCCCATGGAGTGCGACAGAGAGTTTAATGTGGTTCATTAGTTCTTATTATGTCCACCTTATGCAGAGAGTCGCTCCTACTTTGCTATAACACCATTGCTTATCCAACTCACAGGCCTAAAATACTCTCCAGGCAGAGCCTTCTGATCCCAGGAGAGAGATTCTGACTGCTAAATGCAGGTGCACATAAAATCTTGGGTGGAAAAGAGGCGCCCGGTGTCAGCTTGCAATCTCTGCCTGAAGCAAGATATTTTTTAGAGCACTATTTGTGTGGTCACCTGCATATCTGTAATAAATGATCATAGGAACCATGCCTTCCCACAAATCCAGTTTATGATTCAGAAGCCAGGCACAGGATTTAACAAAATATCAAGTCCCAATGGCATTTTCTGGAGGCTCACAGCCATAAACCACAGGAACACAGGTCTCCTCTCAGTTCCTGATAACAGAGCTGTTTTCTTGTTTTACCTTTAGTCATTTACTGTCATCACTAATACCACAAAACTGCCCCCTTCCCACTCCTTCCTGTGTCTGACTGTCCACCAGTTATAGATAAACTGGAAAATGCAAATGTGGGCTTTTTACTTAGTCTCAGACAGCGTGTATCTGCAGCTGTATATTTTGCTCAAAGTTCCAGGCCCTTTAGGTTTGTTTACCTTTGGCAGCTAAGTTTGCAGAGGAAAAGTGCAATCTCATATATTTATCAGTGTTTTCATATCGTGCCTTACAAATCTGACAACTAGCACAGACATAAATTTGCTAGAAAGTCAGAGTTTTTGATTTGGAATTTGAAGGGACGTTTTTGTCAGTAACAGGATATTTGAACAATCTTAGAATTTCACAGACTTTTCTGCAATCTCCTCCCATCTCTCCAAGGAGTTGACTCACAGAATACTACGCAGTACCTGAGACTGTAGAATTCACCTTGCCTCATGGATGGCTGTCGTGGGGGCTGGTGCTGTGGACGGGAGGATTTTTGGACCATGATTCCAGGTAAATGCCCCATCTTTACAAAATTAAGTCTTAAGCATGCTTTTCATTTGCCATGATTGGTTGTCTCTGGTGTCTGTTGAGTGCCATCTACCCAAAGTTTTCAGTCATTCTCTTTTCCCTGCAGCTAATGCTGTTGAAGTAATCTGGATGCAGAGGCACTTTTTGGGTGCATGCAGAAAACTAATCAACATCTTTGCAAGAGATTGGTATTTTTAAAAGCCCTAATAAGCTACCCTCATAGGCTAAATGAATGTTTTGACAGCCTAAAGGAAATCGATATGCACTATAACTTTTAGACAGAGCTGATGAATTATAAAGTAACTTCACAGATCAAGACACAGATGAGAATTTTCCCCATGGAATTGGCCTGTCACCTGTGAAATGCTCAAGGAAACCCAGCTGCCTATTGACCCTGGCCATCTCCTGCAGGATGGAACATTCGGTAGGGCTGAGGGATAAGAGAGTCTTATTGTGCTGGAGTTGGGGAAAAGGGTTTCGTTTAGGGGCTTGTAGATCTTTGAGACTCCCTTAAGACTACTGCCCAGTCCTGCCCTCTTCATGCTCACCATGTTAGGGAAGAAGCTATGCAGAAAGGCAGAATGATTTGGCCTCTTCCAATGGGCCTCAGTAGGATCCAGCATGGTAAGAAGACCCTAAAACCACCCTGACAAATGGCCGGCATCCCCCGCACAAGGCTGGCACTGAAGTTCTCTTGAACCGAGGATCAGAAGTCTAAGACTTGGAGGCTAGCAACAAGGCTGCCTTTCATCTGGTTCAGCTTCAGGGTCAACTGGATGGCAGGAATAATCAGACTTTTCCAATCTGGGCATACTGAATAGGCCAATAGGTCCACCTGGCTTACATGGGTCAACCCAGTACCCTGGCAGTTTTGAGCCAGCAAGGGTGAGCACAGCAGACAGCTCTTTAGAAGGGTTTGGAGAAGCTGCTTTTTTCTGTTCTTCATCCTAAAGCCCTCTTACCTAGGCAGTCTCTCAAGGGGGTCCTTAGCTACCTGGGCTTTGTCTTCCTCCTTCTCCTTGAGGATTATAAATCAGTGATCTTAAAACTTATCACCCAACCAGGTCCCTTCTGAGAGTGAAAGGGGGCATTATTAATGATTACTTTCAATCAATAGGCATAAACCAAGGCTGTCTAGCACCAACTGGGATGTACATCACCCGGTTTATAAGGAATGGAGAAGGGAAGAAATGTGATTCACTAATGAGGCTTCTTAATCTCCACCCAGTGTAGGACTGTCCTCTGAGCCTCGCACATTCCAACGACAATGAACACTTTTCTGTTATGTAATACAATCCCGGGCACCACTAAGTCCAAAAGTAACAAAAACACAGAGCATTTCCAGCTGCTGATCCAGGAATGCCATTTAACATCAGGAAAACCTTGGCCCCAGCCAGAGAAGGTCATGCATTCCTAAGCCAAGGTTATAATTATGCCTCTCGGAAGCCTCCTTCACTTAACTGTTCTAACATGGGTGCAGGCAGTGCACCTAGAAACTGCATCTATATTTAGGTGCAGTTAGCATTGCCTCTGTACAGCACTCTTAACTTCTCATGCAGCGAGCACAGGCTTTGACTGTCAAGGTAAATCCCAGGGGGCTTAAAATGGGAAAGAAATAACTAGTACCTTCCAGTAACCATCCACCATTTCTAACGAGATAAAGGCAGCCCTGGCTTTGCCGTCTTCCTAAGCAGGATCCCAAGGACTAGCTTAACGTCTAGGAAAAACTGCCTCTGCATGCAGCAATGGGGGAAGGACAATAGTCTAGAAGATCATGGGGCCACCTGTCCTTAGGGGTTATGGGTGAACTCCAGACTTACCCTGGAAAGAATACCTGCTTCTTTCAGGAGTTGGAAGGATGAGTCTTAAATCACACATGGTCCTCATCTGCGTTAAATTAAATAAGAGCATTAGCTAGAGGAAAATCAATGGAGCTGGTATCCCTGCAAGAGAGCCTGCTGGGCTGTTGTCAAGGATGCAAGCTCTCTGGAAGGACAAGAAGCAATGTTTCTCTTATCCACCCACAGGATAAGAGAGAATGTATTTGATGCCATAATTTATGCTGAGTGCAAATATCATTGATAATTGCAGGTAATTAATAACATCATCCATAAGACGGGGGACACAGCCTGGCTTGTCTTGAGGGGCCCCGACGCTCTAGCAGTTCATTCATCTATTATGTGTGTAATCCCTGGATTACACAAACCCATCTGTGCTCACACCTACCAGCTCCACCCGTCCTTGCAAAGGCTGTGACTATTAGAAAAATCACAAAGGAATGGAAATCATCAAGTCGAAGGTATACCTGTTCCCCAATATTCAAGTTGTTACAACAAGCAAACAGAAAGGACATTCTTGGGTGGAGTTGTTACAACAAGCAAACAGAAAGGACATTCTTGGGTGGAGTTGTTACAACAAGCAAACAGAAAGGACATTCTTGGGTGGAGTTGTTACAACAAGCAAACAGAAAGGACATTCTTGGGTGGAGTTGTTACAACAAGCAAACAGAAAGGACATTCTTGGGTGGAGTTGTTACAACAAGCAAACAGAAAGGACATTCTTGGGTGGAGTTGTTACAACAAGCAAACAGAAAGGACATTCTTGGGTGGAGTTGTTACAACAAGCAAACAGAAAGGACATTCTTGGGTGGAGTTGTTACAACAAGCAAACAGAAAGGACATTCTTGGGTGGGAGGGGGGAGAGGGAGGAGGGAGGGAGGTTTTGGTGATGGGCTATAATAATCAACCACATTGTATATTGACAAAATAAAAATTTAAAGGAAATAAAAGAAAAAGGAAAAAAAAAATCAGAGCCATTACAGATACATTCTGATCCAATGCCAGAAAAGGCAGCATCTTAGAACATCAGGAACAACTCCAGGAATCTGACCTTGGGGACTTTTCACAGGCTGGGTGGACAGTCAGTCTGGATTTGCCCTGACTAAAAACATTTTCCTTTATTGAACTGAAAACAATTTCATCTTATTTGTTATACTGCCTGAGATGTCATCAACTGACGATTAGAGTTGACAGCATGTTCTTAAAATTGTGAAACGTGAGGGCCGGCCCGTGGCTCACTTGGGAGAGTGTGGTGCTAATAACACCAAGGCCACGGGTTCGTATCCCATATAGGGATGGCCAGTTAGCTCACTTGGGAGAGCGTGGTGCTGACAACACCAAGTCAAGGGTTAAGATCCCCTTACCAGTCATCTTTTAGAAAAAAAAAAAAAAAGTGAAACACGCAAGGCTCCTTAACCCATTAGGAATGGACTGTTTTACTAACCTCGCTTTGCTGCACATATCTGAGTTCACTAGGTGTTTACCTGGGACATAACATGATGCCATCTCTGGCAGATGAGGACAGAGCTACATAGCTTCATGGTCTACCTGTTTGTCCTACTCCCCAAGTAGGGAATGCACCCGTAATCGGAGGTTGCCTCAACGTTTTCGAACCTTCTCTCCACATTCCGATTGAGCATCACTTTTCCAACATAGAAATATACAACCTGCTGAAGTTCAGACACATGATTTAGATTCAAGTAATTGCATGTTCCTGCAGGAGACTTTGACTCAGAACTGCCTTGTGCGGAGAACGAGGCAGGACACAAGCCATCACTGTGTTGGCATGGATTGCAGCAGAGGGAGTGTGGTTCTGGAGACAGGAGCCAAGACAGCAGTGTCCTGATGTGGTGGCTGCCTAGTCCTGGGGAGGTGGCAGCTCCCTTGGTGAGCCAGGTCTTAGTGTGATTTGGGAAGCTGGTTGTCCCTGGAAGCCTGCCTAGTGCCTACATCTCTGGCCGTCCCAGCACTTCTGTGAGTTCTCTGTATTCCTTCATAAGCCCTTTTTGGGCTGAATCAGCTGGAGTGGATCCTGTTATCTGTACCCAAGAATCCCCTGGCTACTGCAGATGGAGCAAAGAAAGCAGAGGGCAGGGAGAAGAGACATCAGGAAGAGGTAGAAGTGTACAGAAAGATATGGGATGCTGGCAAATATTTTGAATAATGGTCATCATTTATTGAGGCCGTACCATGCACAGTATCTCTAACCCTTACAATAACTCTGTTAGGCATTATTATTCCCATTTTATAGATGAGGAAATGGGCTCAGAATGGTTAGGGGGCCTGCCCAAGGCCATACAGCCTTTAACGATGACTTGGGAAATCTAACCCAGATCCTTTGTGCACAGAGCCTAGGCTCTCCCCACTTTGTTACTCTGCCCAGGCCAGCCCTGCCTGCAGAAAGGAGTGGAAACTCCTTCCCTATTGCTTTTGCTCCTCTCAGCGTCCCACTCTGAGGCCAGCCAGTCAGCTAGTATGAGTAACACTACAGATTACCAGTATGGGCTTAGACTGTTATGTAGGCATTCATTAGTCAGGAGCAGCCCATACATTAGAAAACATCGGTTTACTGAGGAAAAACTCCCAGAATAGATGACCAACTGCAAACAGAGTCCACCACGAAGGGGACGGGATTACAGGAGCTATTTACTTCCTGCATTCAACAGTTGTGCTATTTGAATTTTTTACCAAAAGTAGGTGTATTGCTTTTTTTAATCATCTGTTGCAATTAGTGCCACCAAATCAGTTGTTTAAGAGGGATGGGAAGGCAAGAAAACATAAACTGTGGTTATTACTGAGTGGTGGGATTATAGGTGATCTTTATTTTCTTTATGCATTTCTGCATTAAACATGTTTCTAAAATGAGCATGTCCTCTTGTTGCTTTTAGAAAACCATTACTCAAACTGGATTGCACCGCTGGGAGCCCATTCAATTTAGATCTGTCGTGAGACACTGACGAGTTCACATGACTGGGAGTCCAGCTGAGGAAGTAGGGCCCCAGGCATGGCAGGAGCAGCAGTGTCACCAAAGACCCTCTTTGGTTCTTCCCCCTCTCCTCTCTGCAACTTCAGTGTCCTTGCCACCAATGGCCACTTCCCCTCATGGACACAGCATGGCTGCAGCAGCCCAGCAATCAGAGTGGACACAACAGCATCCACAGGCAGAAGTGGGGTGTTCTTTTTTGGGTCTCTTTTTAAAGAGTGTGTAACCGTTTCAGAAACCCCTTAACTGGGTCACATTCCCACTCAGTCCCTGGCAGGAGGGATGACTTAGACTCTGACCTGCCTGCTGGAGCTGGGGCAGGGCCAAGTTTCCTCTGAGACCCCAGCATGTGAAGGAGCGTGGAGGCCTGAACAAAGTCGGGGCCTTGGGAAGGAAGATGTGAGGAAACCAATGCCACGTACACAGTCTGTGTGTCTGCTACGGAATGTATTCTTTTTTAATTTAAAAAATTTCATCGATTTAAAAACATTTTAAAAATTACCCCAATGGGCCGGCCTGTGGTTCACTTGGGAGAGCGTGGTGCTGACACCACCAAGTCAAGGGTTAAGATCCCCTTACCAGTCATCTTTGAAAAAAAAAAAATTTACCTTTGTAAAAAGAGACAATAGAAAAAATAAAGAAAAGAAAAAAAGAAAAAATAAAATATTACCTTTATTGTGGTTAGAACTGCTGTTGAGGACTTTGGTGAGAGCTGTGTCGATGAGTTCCTCTATGAAACCTTCTGCTCCTCATGGAAATAATCATAGCCTAGACAAAACGCTGTCCTGTTTCTGCTTCAGGATGTTGTTCTGTCTCTGGGAACATCAGGAACCAAACAGGTCCCAATTGGCAGTCATGGAGTCATGGGCCCCAAATTTCCTTAGGTGTATATCACATGGTTCACAGGACACAGGCTGCTGAACTGGGGCTCTCTGTCTTGGCTAATTATGTCCCTTTCTGAAGCTGTGGTGGCTCAAAAATAAGTTTTGTCCTTTGCCATGAAAAAATGCTAAGCTTTTATCAGACTTTATTTGATGCAGACTTCTTAAACATTTAAGGGCTTGACCAAGATAAATGATATGGTCTTAAAGGTGACTCAGATTCCGGCATTGCAAGTCAGGGTTAGAATCAGTAAAGCCACCTGGAGGCAGCTCAGGTTTTCTGAGTTCATAAACTTTCTGTGTTCCTTTCAGCAGGTTGGAACCAGCTGCAGGAGAAATCATTTATTTCTTTCAGCTTATTGTACAGATGCTTAACTGTTTAAAGCAAGGGGCACAGAAACTAAGATGGTGGATTCAGTGTCTTCCATCAGAGAACAAGCTTTGCCTTGTATTGAGATCGTAACAGTGTCTTCCATCAGAGAACAAGCTTTGCCTTGTATTGAGATCGTAATTGACCCAGCTGCCTTTGCTGCCAGGACATATGAGTAAGTGGATTTAAAGAAAAAAAGAAAGAAAAGAAAAAGAAAAAAGTCCTTCCTATTATTTTCACCAAGTTAAGAGTACCTTTAATTTTTGTCAGTGTTTTAAAACTTGAACTTAATTTCTAGATTCCAAAGTTGCAGGGTTTTTTTTTCTCCTTTCCTCTATTATGTCATGTGCAAGGTACCAGTAGCTAAATTATAAATCTCAGAACAATGAACGGATGGTAGAATAAATTGAACATTAAAGAGTCATACAGGTTATTGCCACTTGCTGTTTAAAGAATTTATGAGTCAAGCCAATTCACCTGCCACCCAGGGACCATATGTAAATATTTTAAGGCTAAATGTGCTCTTGGTTTTCCTGCTCACCTGTCAGTCACTCACTCAGGACCTTCTGGAGCTGGAGGCCACCTGGCCGTTCCACATGTCTATGTGCTTATGGGTGATGGGTTTTTCACCAGGACCCCTGGACATGCAAGTCTTGAAACTGGAGAACTGGAAGAAAGAACAAGAAGCAGAAAAACTGAGTTCAAATTAAAGAAATGGACGCAATAGGAACACCACCATGACCACTGGAGTCAGTGTCAGGTGCAGATTCTCTGCCTGGAAGTCACCTGTTTGTACCTCAGTGTTGCCATCTGTGAAATGGGTGTTATGAGGGCCAGTGATGACGCATGTAAGTGCCTAGCACCAGGCTTGATACAGTTGGTGTGCGGGGAGGGAGCAGTTATTAATGTGTAACAAAATAAATAGGGTACAGTATTTAGATGTCATATGGGGAGAGGAACCATCACCTGGCTCCAAAGTTCCGAGTTATCTGCAGAGATTAAACAGACCTCCTTGTGCCTTGGTTTCCCTGGGTATGAAATAAGCTCAGGTTGCCAGCATCTTAGGGGTTCCTTGAATGCTCCCTGGAGCATTTGTGTGCCGAGCATGTCATGTGAATTGAGTCCAGCTCTTCTCCAGGTGCACATGAACCTTTGAACAACAGAGGCTGGCCTGTGCCACCAAGGACAACATCCTTGTTGAAAGAGCCGGAGGTCTGCAAAGTGACCAGGCCAGCCTTGCCCTTCCTTTGGTCTCTCGTTGCTTTGAGGGCAGAAGTGGTGGGTAGATCAGGTAAGAGTGGGTACGTGCGGGGTCCTGGAGGCCAATCCGGTGAGGAGCAGGCCCCTTCTTCCCTACTTCGTGCTTGAAAAGTTTGATGCCAGTGGAAGGAGAGTGGCAGGCGTGCGTCCCTTCCCTCCAGCAGGAGCTTATTTTCTACTTACTATAGAGGTTGAATGTGGCCTCCAAAAAGATGCGTCCAAGTCCTAACCCCTGGTACTTGTGCATATGACCTTATTTGGAAAATAGTGTCTTTGTAGATGTAATTAAGTTAAAGATCTTAAGATGAAATTATTGTGGATTTAGGGTGAGGCCTAAATCCAATGACTGGTAGCCTTATAAGAGAAAAAAAAGATATTTAACAGAGAGACACATGGCAAAAGGCAGACACAGAGACTGGAGTTATGTTGCCACAGGCCGAGGAACCGGAAGCTGGGAGAGGCAAGGAAGGGTCCTCTACTAGAGCCTTTATGGGGAGTGAGGCTCCGCCACGCTGACACCTTGATGTCACCTCCAGAATTTCCTTCCTCCAGAACTGGCAGAGAATACATTCTGTTGTTTTAAGCCACCTGATTTGTTATGGCAGCTGTAGGAAACCGATACACCAAGCGTGGTGCTTCCTGAGCCTGTATGGTAAAAAGTCTCCTATTCTCTCATGTGTGACATTCAGAGCTGTGTCTTACATCCCTGGCGGTATGCAGGAAGGTCACGCAGGCTCTAGGCTCTTGGTTTTGGCGTCAGTGTGGTTATACATTTCTGGGGCACAGTAGAACCCCCCCCACCAATGTCCTGCAGGCACCTGGGGGTCAAGCCTGGGCACGAGCACAGCAGCTGACCAGAGGCCACCATGAGAGGCAGAGCTGGCAGCCACAGTCCCTTTCAGGCCCAGTTATACATTCGCACTTCAGCATTTTAAAGTTGAGTGAGCTTTCTGAACTTGGAGAGGTATCAGGCTGCTGTGCCCAGCTAAGCAGGAAGACTGTATCTGCAAGAGCCCCCGACCCTGCGGAGTTCATGCAGCCCACGTAGCTCGTGATTATGGAAGGTGGTTTACCAGGAAAGACACCTGTATTTTTTGCCTGTAGTTTTTCAGTATGTGTGTGCGAAGAACTGTACAAATGAGCATTGATTTTTTGAACAATTTTCATATTGTTTTGTTTGGGGGAAATTTAAGATGGAGAAGGATTTATCTAAATATAGAGGATGATGCCGGTAACCAGCTAGAGCGGTAGGCAGGATGATAATAATAACCTATGACTACAGAACATTCCAGAGGCAGAGCTGTAGGATTCTTGGCTGTGGGAAGCATTCACATAGAGCCTAACCACTTACACGGTGTTTTCATGAACATTTTTTAAATCTGAGCTTAATAACCCAGTGAGATATGTTCTCTGACACCAAATTCCATCAACATCCAATTTAAAAAAATAATTTTTTTTCCTTTGGAGGAGATAAACCCTAAATGCTGCTTTGCGTTTCTGAAATGGCTCAGTCAGGCACACAGGCCCTGTCTAGGTGAGTGGGATGTGAGATGGAATTTCCAGCGAGGCGTGAGATGAGCAGATGTGTGACTCTCAGCAGGAGGTCACACTGTGTGTATAGAACTTTCCAGGGCAGGGCTGTAGTAGGATGCCTGGTAGTGGGACACACCCCAGATAAGGAAACCCTCTCATGGTGAAAGAGGAGATCTTGGGGTCTGAGTGATCCCCTCTTGCAACCATGTCAAGGAGAGAGTAGGAGAGCTCTGGCCTCTGATGATGTGTGTGTCCCGTGTGGTTCAGTCTCTGCCCATAAAACTGAAGGTTAGAAAAGATCAAAAAATAAAAATTAAAAAAAATAAAATAAATAACCCTGAAGGTAGAGAGGATTTTGTTTTCCATAGTTAGCCTTGGGAAGATTGCTTTAAGTAATTGGACTTAATGTGCTCTGCTTTTTATTCCTTATCTGGTCCCCCCTTGTGTTTTTACTTTCTTGGTGGCCGGGGGGCGGAAGGGATCTGACTCCCTTGTTATTATGAAGCCTTTCTCTGTCCTTCCTTAGCCTCCCTTCCTTCCTCTCGGCCTAGTCCAGTCCCACCTCCAGCTCTGTAGCTGGCAACAGCCTAGGCTATTGCTGGGCTTGCTAACCTAGGTTGTGACCAAGCATACGGAAGAAAGGGCCACACAGCTGCATTGGAGGAGGTGAAGTGAGGACTGTATTTTGTAAAACAAACCCAAAAGAAGTATTATTAGGTTGGCTATTTTTATTTATCTAAAAGGCCTCAGGTCATCCTTTGTCAGTCTAAATCTCATCAGATGCGTGATGCGCCTAGCTGTTTCCCTGGGCTTCATGTCCTTGCTTGGTGACATAGTGTAGGGGAGTGCTGTCTAAAGTTGAGGGGGGTGAAGGCACCACCCCAAGGATGCTTCAGCGCAGTCCATGTGATGGCGAGATGTGTTTAATGCACTCAGAATAAGGGCCTAATTGAAGGCTCATCTAGTTCAACCCAATGGACATTTAGTGGGGTTCTGGAAAGTGTCAGGTACTGTGTGAAGTGAAGAAAATGAGAGGCTCTGGTCCCCAGTACGCAAGCAACTTGCAATTTGATGCAAGAGACAGACCCAGGACTTTCACAGTCTAAGTTAAGGCAACAGCCTTGTAATGGAGGTGGAAGGTGCGTGGGCCTGTAGAGAGTGGCATCAGCAGAAGCCTGTGGGAGGAGCAGCGTGGACTTCTGCAGCTTCACAGGCTGGGTCTTCACTGTTTAAGTGTCTGTCCTATGCAGTGGGCTGTGCACTGACGGAAAATCTGCTTTTATGTAGTGAATCTTTCTACACTCTAGTTTTTTGGGGTTTTTTTTTTTTTTGCAATTGGCATGGGGATTTAAACCCTTGACCGTGGTGTTACAGCACTGCAGTCTAACTGACTGAGCTGACCGGCCAGCCCAATACTCCACCGCTGAATGTGGTATCTGAATAAATTAAGGTGCTAAATAAATGTTTGTTGAATTAACAAAAGAGTGAATAAATGAACAGAGTGGAGATGAAATAAAATCATTCTGGACCAAGGAAAGGTGGGGCCTTTAAGAGGTGATTAGATGGTGAGGACTGTGCCCTAGTGAACGAACTTTGCATTAATGGAGTAGCAGGCTTGATTTTGATGGCTTTATAAGGAGGGCAAGTGAGAAGGTTAGCTCTCTCTAGCTCAGCCCATTCTCTCACCATGTGATAAGCTGTGTGGCTGTAAGGAGCCACCACCAAGTAGGAGGTCCTCACCAGATGTGTTACCTGGACCTTGGATTTCCCAATTTCCAAAATGTAAGAACTAAATTTCATTTATTTGTAATTTACCCAGTTTCAGGTATTCTGTTACAAGCAACAGAATCAGACTAATAGTGTGCGTGTGTGTGTGCGTGTGTGTGGTCACAGACCATGCTTTTGTACCTGTATCTTGGTGTATATTCCTGAGCATATCTATAGAAAAAATTTCTAACAGTGCAGTATGCGTATTTAACATTTTGGTTGATATTGATAAATCTCTCTTCAAAAGGTCTTGTCCACTTATCTTCCCATCAAGAATGCTCGACAGTGCCCATTTTCCTGTGCTCTTGCCAATATGGATATTTCCAGACCTCTATTTTTTTTTAATCTCATAGGAGAAATAATATCTCATTATTTTCAGAATTTACATTCTTTTTTTTTTTTGCCATTTTAATTTCTTTCTTCGTGAACTGTCCACTGTGCAATTGAGTAAAATCATTTTCTTTACTGAGTTTCTTGATGACTGCTTTGTCAATTAAGAAAAATTACCTTTTGAAAAATGGCGACGGGTCTGGAGCGCCCGCGTCAGGAAACAGCGCGATCCTGAGAGCTGTGTGCTGTGATACCAGAGTATTGACTGCATTTCCAAAAGCAACAAAGGACGAATAAATCTTTCAACAACGATCCTACATCGACAAATAAGCGGCAGCGGGTTCGAGGTTTTGGAGCCGACACGGAGAAGGACTCCTGGGGGTGCCCAGGTCCGGCTGCGGGAACAATATTGGCAGCCCACACGGAAAAGGCCGGGAGAGTCAGCAGAGGAACTGCGCGCAGAGGCGACCTGAAACACGCGGAAACACGCCGGACCCTGCGGTCTCCGTGAGTCACCCCCAGCAAAATCCCACTTGCGGGGCGAAGCCCGACTCCCCCTCGCCCGCCTGGCCACCGCCCATCACACCAGGCTGGGCGCCCACAACAGAGCTGCCTCCATTTTCTAGGGTGGGGCAGAAAAGACCGGCATAAGGTGGGCGGGTCAGTCATCTCTGTCTGACGTGGCTCCCCGGTGGGACGTGCTATTTGCTTACCTCAACACGGAGCACCCCGGGCCCTGTGGACCAGCATATAAGGCCCACTCTTCCCGCAGTTCTCAGACGGGGGTGGGAGCGTGGGAAGGCCCCGGCCAGCCTCGGGGGGGG